CAAAGGGCCATGCGGGGCCGGGGGATGCAGCGCGGGGCGCGCGGGAGCCGGGGGCCGCAGCGGCGCTGCTGAGCGCGGCCTGGGGCGGGGCGGGGCCGGCCGCGATGCCGTGGTTCCCGGTGAAGAAGATCCGCAAGCAAATCAAGCTGCTGCTCCTGCTGGTGCTGCTCACCTGCGCCGCGTGGCTCACGTACGTGCACCTGAGCCTGGTGCGCCAGGGCCGCGCGCTGCGCCAGCGGCTGGGCTACGGGCGAGGTACGGGAGGGGGCGCGCGCCCCGGGGCAGGGGACGGGGAGGGCCCCGAGCAGCGCCGGGCAGGGCCCTCCCACTGCGCCCGGCTGTAGTCTCGGGCCAGACCCGCCCGCAGACCCCGTCTGCTCTTCGCAGCTCGGCAATATTGGGGCAGGGGGCGCAGTTCGCCCCAGCCGCCCAATGACGTCACCAGTGACGAGCGCGACCCTCTTGGGGAGCGTCCCTGAACCTGGGCGGACTCGGGATCTGGCCCGGAGCCGGTAGTGACGGGGTTAATGGGGGAGGGGAGCCTCCTGGAGACATCGCCCCCAGGCCCTGCGCGCCGGGTTTCCAGGCACCTAGTCGGGCTGCTGTCTCCACCACTTGTCTTTGTAATTAGCAGAGCCTTGGTGTCCCCATCTGCTGGGGGGGAGGAGGGGCAGGGCGGCTTGGGGAGCTGACCCGTGCAGCTGAAACGTTTCCTGGAAGCGGTGCCCTAGGTGAACCTGTGATCAGGGACTGTGTGGCTGAGGAAGGCATGGTGATAGGGGTCCAGCGAGGGAGGAGAGGGGAGCCCTGAACTGCCTGGACTGAACTCACAGGCACCCTGAGCTCACCCCAGTGGGTCCAGGGAACCCATGGAGAGATCAGGTCCTGGTGAGCACTGTGGGAAAGAGTCATGGGAGGGGTCCTGGAGGGCCTCTTGGAGGTGGTGACCTTTGACACACAACATTTTGGGGGAAAGCATCCCAACAGGAGGAACAGCATGATGATGACCTGGGGTGCAAGGGGAGGGACAGAGTGCCTGGAACCTGGAAAGGAGGAACGAGAGAGAGAGAGGGGACACCTCAGAGCAGGACAGATCCCAGCTAGGCCGCCCCTGACCCTTCTCAAGGACGTGGAGTGTCCTTCGGATAGGGAGAGGGGTGAGAGTCTTGCTTCCCAAAGACTCAGAACAATGGCTTTGACTCACAACCTCTGGGAGGTCTGAACCTCCCTGTTCAGCCCCACCCCTCCCCCACTTGCCGAAGCCCCTCTGCCTTCCCTCACTACCTGACA